TTGGAGAACTAAACAATGAGGAAGAAACGGTAAAACTTCAGATGGCCATAATTTTGCGCTTAGTTGTCCATTTGAGGCGATTTTTTTTGTATTTTTAAATTTTGGTATTTTTTCGAGATTTACGACATATAAACCCTTAAAGGCGGTTTTGGGTACCAAATTTGAGTTTTTAGCCCCAAATTAATGGAAAAATAGATTTTGCATGTTTACTTTTCACCGGTAGTGGCAGGACCTCGTCATGATGTGATGAATCATCTTTTGCTTGGTGGTTCATGAATCTGGTTGTTCTTGTCATTGGAGGTAGGAAGACTACAAGGAGAGAATCAAATCGATTCTTACAAACGACATCAAACTAATGATGCACAAAATAAATTTGTGCAAGATCAACAATCAAGTGTGTAATAAAATGTAATTAATGGACAATTAATAGAGCAATCAGTGACAATAATGTAAATATTGGGTCAACACGCAGATGTATAATAGTTCGGTCCGGGTGACTTACTCCACTACGGGAAAAGACAATGATGGTCAGGAGACCTTTTATTGATTAAGTATTGTGAACGAGAGAGAGAACAATTGTTAGTCCTGAGAGGGATACAATAGCAAAGAGAGATAAAAGTTATGTGTGGGGTGTGTAGATAGGTGTAGAGGTAGAGCTCAATGTGTCCTCTTGTGTAGAGAGAACTTACAATTTATAGGTATAGGATCTTGGTTAAGTAGGTAACTTGAGGGTAAAACTATTAGTCCTTCGAGAAGGATAGCTATAAAAGGTAAGTAGAATTAAAGATTGTCTTGATATTCAAGAATGAGTATTCCGATGATTGCTTTTCACATGCCCTAATCTTCTTGAACTTCTTAGAGCTTAGACTAGGCTAAACTCACGAACCGAACTTAACCTGCCTTGTAACTGTTTTAAGCTTACTTAATTAATTGAGTCTGACTCGATAAAATTTGGGCTCATTAAATACATATTTATATAACATTCTATAACATTTTTGTCTAAGACTCCAAATTAAGTTGTGTCTTCACTCGAGAAGGGGAAGCATGCGATCAAAAGATTCCGTAGTACACAAGTATCCTGTCCCTTGACCCATTCAATACATCAGTTTAATCAGTGAAGGTACATTTTAACTTTCGAATTATGTGCAGAGTGACGACAAATCAATTAGAAAATTGTGTTCCAAAGACTAAAACAAGGTGGAAAATAATACCCTCTGGAATTATGTGCAGAGTGACAACAAATCAATTAGAAAATTGTGCTCCAAAGACTTGAACAAGGACGAAAAATGAGCGGTTGCAATCGTATTGTGATGGGTCGTTTTTATATGGTATCCTTTTTTATCGTGTTATATTTGTGTCACGTCACTTTTGATACGTGTCGAATTTATGTTAATATTCGTGTTAATAAAAATTTATTTAATTCGACAACAACTTATATAATACTATTTAAAAAATTATAAAATTCTTATTTCTTGTCTATAATATTCGTTAAATAATTATTTTATATCTACAGTATCTATTAATCGTATTATTTATGTCAAATTTTAATTTAATCTATATATTATTTGTGTCAACTAATCACGTTATTTTTAAGTTTAATGTTAGATCGAGTTCGTGCCGGATTCGTATTAACAGATAAAATTGACACCCCTAACGAAAATAATGCCCTCTGATCCTCTTTTAGGATTCATACCAACTGCGCAATGTTTACCCATCTTGATTGCAACGTTAAGTTCATCAAACCATTTATTAAATTTTGTACTACAAATCAATGTGGGTGATTGAATCAGTGAGTCACTAATTATCATCAACCTTTAATGTATAGAATTTTGACATATTATTTAATAAATAATTTTGGAAAGTATAATTTTATCCAACTCGAATATACTTGAAATTGATCATGCGAAATATTATATCAGATTTATATTATGAATAAAATTTATTATTTGACTAATACTTTATCCAATTATAATCATTTATAGTCAAATTCGTATTGTAGATAATTCATGTTTAGTAGATTCTTATTTAACAAGTTCTTGACTTTTTTTTTTTTTATTATTAAATAAAAAAAACTTGTGAATTATGTATCGATTTCATGTGAAGTTCATAAGTTGTGTCTAAAATAGTTAAACAGAGATTTATTATAGTGAAAAAAAAAGTTAAACTTGGATATTCGAATTTAGGCTTCCTTCATGCTTACAACGCTCATGACTCAACCAACCCATTTGGGTTGAAGTTGAAGCACAAGTTGGAAGAATTATCACAGAAATGGGATTTGTCCAAATGTCACTGCTCCGTTTTTCCACACGCACCTTATCCGTGTCACCGCACGCCAACCCGGGCATGGGACTAGTATACGACAGGGTCACGGTGGGCGGTCTGATTAATTTATACTGGAGGATATGCCATTCTATTGACCCTTCCCTCCCTACCCAACAAAAATAATTTATTCTTGTCCTTGACCGAGACAGTCTCACACGCCACCAGCGTCTTGTTTCATTATCAATCAATTTTCCTTTTAACCAATATTAAAGTTGATCAACTTCGATGACTCATTCTTTATGCCGCACACATATACATATCTATGTTAAATTCAACATTGTATTTTTCGTATTTATTTTTATTTGATATTAAAATTTCAAAGGATAGATAAATTGGTCACAAGCCCATTATGTAGAGTGAAGAATCTGAGTTCGAGTTTTTTTTTTTGTAGCCATTAATTGTTGGAGAATTATCCTGTTTATTACATTACACACCCAGGAGTGACAAATGCCATAGAAAAACAGTGCTACTGAAACTTCAATCACTTTTGACATCAACAGATGCCGCCAATGTATGGACTAATAGAGGCAAATGTGTAGTTGCAATCAAGCAAGTCCCAAACAGCAACATTTTCATAGTTGTATTAATCAAGCTAAATATTAAGGGTTCCTTCTGCACCGTGGCATGCCAATTTTGATTTATTATTTTCCGATTGTTGAATAATACTTTGATTTCAATGTGATGATAATTAAATAACCTGAAAATATTGGTTTAGATGACTTTTCAAATGTTATCATTTTCTTGTTCGTGTTTAGACTTGGAACACTCGCATGGCAAAATAATAATAATTTATTTATTTATTTGGTTGGCGTATTTTGTCTGTTTAGCATATGCCAGTGTTATGGTGTGAGTATTGGCATGGTAGAATAGAATAGGGATTATGCTATAATATTGAGTAGTTGTAGATGGGTTGCTGATATATTTATTTCCTAGATGGATACCAATCATTCGATAAAATGTCTTATCCAGAATCACAAATTTGGTGCAGAAATTCACGTGGTACCATGTCTCTGTTCATTTTTCTATTATATCCTACTAACTAATTCTGCTACATTCACATGGCTCTGGTTTTCCATCTATTCTTTTATTTTGCTGGAGTCGAATCCCCTCCAATAAAATTTTTCTTCAATTTTTTTTAGTGGATTATTCATCATTAATGGGTGAAGTGTCCATTTGAATACAAGGAGTCTTATTTAAATTGCATGGCAGATGATCAGCCCAAAAAAAATTTAAAAAGAGAATGTATTGCATGAATCTCCACCCGTTTTCGTGTCTCCAAGTGAGAGAATTTTGGAGATAAATATTAATATGAGTTGCGTAACTCACTAGTTTACAAAGTAAAACATCGATCAGTTCTACCAAACATTTAACTTATTTTTTTTTGGGTCCTACCAAACATTCAGTGACTTCTATTTATTATTTTTACTAAATTCTCCAAACCTTTCCTATACGCAATCATTCATTGAGTTGTATCAAACCAGTTCAACAAAATTAAACATTTTTACTGGTAGTTGTTGATCTGTTATCTATTTGTCTTTTCTTTTAATTAGTTTTCCTTTTCGGATCATTATTTGTCATTACGGCAAGGATAGGGAGTAATCCTATTACTGGTCATGTACGGATGCACCTCTTTTCATTGTCCATGGTCTTCTCTAATGGTCCCTTTGGTAGTTGTCCATGGTCTTCTCTAATGGTCCCTTTGGTAGGAGGGATGAAATATTGAAAGGATGAAAAAATAAGAGGGATAGATTTTTCATCCTTAAAAGAAGGAAAGAGATTTTTCATATTTTGTGTTTTGGTAAGAAGGATGGAAAAGTGGAAGGAATATATTTTTTATTATTTTATTTGACATGAAAAAAATAATAAAATATTATTACTTGTGAAATATCAAAAATACCCTTAGAATATAAATAATTTATTGAGAGAGATAAGTTCTTTGAAATAAATAATAATTAAACATTACATAAAAGTTGTGGGACCCATCATGACTAACTTATCAGCCACTTTCCGCCCAAAAATGGAGGGATTAAAAATGGTGGGCTGGATGGATTTCCTTTTCCTCCATCTTTCCTTTTTAACCAAACAAAAAAAAATTACATTTTTCATCCTACTTTTCATTCATTATTTTTCATTCATCCTATTTTCTCTCTTACCAAACAGGCCATAAGGTTCCTTCCCTGTGGCCAAATAATTCCAACTGTCCAATCGATGAGTTCTGACTTATCAAGCAAGAAGTGTTGAATATTCACATCAACTGAAACACGTAGTCAATTCTCCATGCTTTCCTTTTCATTTCAGTAGCCTCTACAATGATGCTGTGCTTTCTTCCACGCTTGATATTAGCTATGTTATATAGCCTCATTATTGCCACACTTCTATAAAGATGACATAACTACTTTGGAAGACTTTTGCTCATGGTCGTAACCCGAATCATTCAAATTATTTTTTTTTTGGACTCATAATTATAACATAAATCTTTACATAATCATCCGTGTTTGAATAAAATTAGATGTTAATATTTAGTTAAAAGATCTCTCAACTCAAAATTTTTTGAAATTTACGTCTAGTCTCTTATTCAATAATCAAATGAACTTGTAGATACCATATAGAAAACCATAGTTCTAGCAAGAGCAGCATTAATAGATAGTCCAAATATCATTTAATTCATGTTAGTCCAGGAAGGTTATTCATGCAGTGGTCCTAACTCAAGATGTTAGAAATTTGCGTCTCATCTCTTATTCAACAATCAAATCAACTGGTAGGCACCATGTACAAACCGACAGTTATGGCAAGAGCAGCATTAATAGACGGTCCAAGTATCTATCTTATAATAATTCATGCAGTGGTCCTATCTATGCTAATGGTAGGATTCCCCAGCTGTCATGTTTAGCCACTGGGGAAGCAGATATGCCTGACGAAGTGGGTTGTCCTTTTGAGAGCGCTGTGTTTAAAACAGATTGAATATAGCCATGACCATACATATTAATGTCGTACCATTTGCGATACAAACCGTGTTTTTGTATTATTTTTGTATTGTATTATATGATACAGAATACGATATATATGATAAATAAAAAAAAATATAATATGTTTTTAAAAGTTTTTTAGGACTGAAACGACATCGCTTCTCTTAGGATCTTATTTTTTAATTTTTAACCAATAAAACAAAGTCGTTTCAGTGGTTAAATTTTAAAAAATAAAATAAAATAAAGGTGGCTTTTGTCTCTAATTGACGACAACCAAAAACTGTCCACCAAAAAGTCAAAGATCGAAAAAAAGAGCAACATCACTCTTCTTCATGGCAATGAATTATTGCAAAAAAAATTATTCTCCAATCTACAATTCTTCATCACAAAGAAGTCTTCAATGTCCTGATCCTCTAGATCTACGAAGAGTTCGGCTAAAGGTTTTAGCCTTTTTCCTATTCGAAACCCTAAATTTTTTTTCTTCCTTCTTCTTCTTCCTTCTTATTTGGTTTCTCCTTAGCGAAGAGTTCAACTGTAGTTGCAGACCCAAACAAAGCCTAGTTCTTCCTCAGTTTTTGCATTTTAATATTAGTAAATTATGTTGAAAGACTGAATAGTTGGTGAAATATTAATGAAATGCTATGTTATTTTGAATCTATGACTTTTTTGTAAAAGTATATATATGATACACTATTTTAAAAAAATGATACCCCTTCCACCGATTTGATAACTATAGCCATGAGTTTGTTTTAAAGAGCAAGAGAAGATCTACAACCACTTATACCTTCCTATGGATTTAAGGATAAGTCACATGTTTATAAGCGGGATTTATGTTGTGCACATGTTGTGTTGTGAACAATCAAATAATTTAAAAAAATAAAAAGCAATTACAAATGATAATACCCAAAATATGCCTAAGGTTGAGCTCGGGTATCCAGCTCGGACCCCTCAAGCTCAGGCCACTCAACCCATCACGAATGACTAGGGAACTTAAGGTCAGTGCCTCCTCCCCAGCAACTGCACCTCCACAGGAATATCACAAAAGACAGCTGACTTCCACCCAAGCACCACACATAACGTAACGGTCTTTTATTTGGGCAAAGAAGTCGTAATTGTTTCAACGATATCCATAGCAATTGCATAAAATGCGCAACCGTTACGAGAAAAAGGTTAAGATCACACCCAAGATCATGCAAGGCCTCCGAAAACTATAAATAAGAGGCATATCCCTCACAACATGATACAAGCAACTAGCCTACGTGAATACCCTATGTAATCTTCCTCTCTTTATCACTAAAATCGCCCTAGGAGCAAAGGCTCCCTTCAGAGTGTATTAGCCAAGCTCCCGAGCTGGAAAACCACTATAAATATTTTGTGTGTCATTCCCCATTCTCTTGTTCAAATCTTGAGAGCCTAGAAGCTTTAACTGAGTCATTCAATAATCCATTAATCCCTAAAGATCTTGAGCTCTGCGCAATTGTGTCATATACACCATCAGTTGGCACCGTCTATGGGAACGACTGTTCCTATAAAAATTCTACTAATATCTTCAATAATTGATGTTTTTTACGCACAATATGATCAGAAATCAGATGAATCATCTGCATCTACAAAACTAACAAGAAGTCGCCACTAGAAAACAGTAGGAGGACCCCCTGCCTAATCCTGAATCTAATCCTTCAATGGCGAACCCTTCTTCAGACGACAAATTTGAGTCCTTTCACCAGGACAACCAACGTCTCCTCCAGCAAAATGAGGAATTGCTAAACCTCATCTAAGCCCAGCATCCCCGGAGGGCATAGCCAGCCCAAGATGATCTCCAATGGGGGGAACATCAACGTCCCAATCCTTTAAGGGAGAATATGGAGGAGAATGAGCATAGTCAATCATTTGACAACATACCTTGTCGAAAGAATGGAGAAGACGAGGAAGTGCAAAGCCAGAGCAGGGGGACTCATAAGAACTAGCTTCTCCCATTCTAGCAAAAAAGGAAGGAGCAATTATGGTAGCAGCGCTTCAAGGAGATCCAACAGGAGCTCAGCCACATGAAGAAGGTCGTAAGGGGCAAAACTCCAGTGACTATGGACACCCTGGTCCAGTAGACATAGTTTTCATTCACTCTAGAGGTGCTATATTTTCCCCTTGCACCAAAATTCAGAATACCACAGATTGAAACATTTGATGCAACAAAGAATCTCATGGACCATCTCAACACCTATAAGAACTAGATGGAGTTGCATGAGTATCAAGACCTAGTGTGGTGTCGAGCTTTTGCTATCACCTCGAAAGGCTCAGCCTTAGCTTGGTCAATAGGCTGACCCAAGCATCCATTTTCTCCTTTAAGGAACTCTCAATCTCATTCATCTCATATTTCATTGGAGCTCGAACCTACTGAAAGCCGAGCTACCACTTATTGAATGTAAAACAAGGACCAAATGAGACACTATGGAGCTACATTCAAAGGTTCAACTCAAAATCTTTAAAAGTAGACGTCCCTAATGAGAAGTTTACTCTCACTACCTTCATTGTTAGGCTAGGAGTCCAGTCAAAGGACTTGATATTCTCTATCTCCAAGAACCTAGAAGCCAGTATGGCTAAGGTCCTTACCAAGGCAGAGAAGTACATCAATGGTGAGGAAGCTTTCCTTTCAAAGGCTGGGAGCTCGACTACCCACAAGGAGAAAGAGAAGAGAAATGACCAAAGTCCAAAGAAGGAGAGGAGTCGAGAACGGTCTCCACAAAGAGACAGAGATCGCTCCTCAAAAAGAGAAGAGGGGACATCAGAGATCGCCTAGGACCTCCACCTCAGGAGCTGCAGCCAAGGTACACCCCAAGGCAGTTCTCTCCCCTTAATGTTATTATGTCCTAGGTTCTTTATGAGGGGCAAAATGAAAAAGTTCCTAAGATGGCCAGCTCGGATGAAAACTGACCCTGCAAAGCAGGACATAACGAAGTACTATGAGTATCACTAGGACCATGGCCACCTCACTAACAATTGCATGCAGCTGAAGAAGAAATGAGTTCTTAATTTAGAAGAGGCAACTGCATCGCTTTGTGGCCCAAAATAATCAAAACCGAGTTCATCCACCTCTTAGACCTCAACAGCAAGCTGTTCCACAACATCAACAGCCCATGTGAGAAATCAGAGTAATATTAGGAGGATTTGCTAGAGGTGAAGAAACTAGCTCACTAGGAAGGCCCACATGCGAAAAGTCAAAGCTGAAGACATTTTGGAAGCACAGGCTGTGTCCAAAACTCCTTGACTAAGCATGGATATTACGTTCTTAGACTCGGATCTTGAGGGCTATCAACACCGTCATAATGATCCCTTGGTGGTAGGGGCTATCATTTCTAACAGAACAATCCACTGAGTTCTAATTGATAACGAAAACTCTGTCGATATCATCTTCACACCAGCCTTTAACAAAATGGACATCGGTAGAAACAAGCTCAAGTTATTGAAAACTCACCTATTCGAATTCTCTAAAGAAAGGGTGATCCCCTTAGGCTCAATCCAACTCGTTCTCAAAATGGGAGACCCCCCTATCAATCAACCACCACTGTGAGATTTTTGGTCGTTGATGCCTCATCATCATACAACGTTCTACTAGGGAGGCCTTCTCTCAATGCCATGCGAGCTATCCCTTCTGCCTACCACCTTGTGATGAAGTTTCCTACTAAAAATGGCATTGGGGTGATCTGAGGAGATCAATGTATAGCAAAGAAGTTCTACATGGCATCCATGAAGAAAAAAGAAGTCGAGACCATACAGATGGATAAGGTCGATATGAGGGACGAGTTGGAGACAAGGCCCACACCTTCAAAAGAGTTGTACCTAATCCAGCTTGATGCCTAACCAGACCACTTGGTATTTATGGGATCAAAGCTACATAAGGAGATAAAAGATCTCCTTATTCAATTTATGAGAAAAAATATCGAGGTGTTCATTTGGAAGCACGAGGATATGTAGGGGATTAACCCCAAATTCATCACACAAACTTAGTGTGAATCCAACCTTCAAGGCAATCAAGTAGAAGCGGAGAAGCTTTGCTCCAGAATGTCAGAAATCCATCAACGAAGAAGTCTCCAAACTCCTTCATGCCAAGGTCATCAGGGAGGCAGACTATCTGACCTGGTTGGCCAACGTGGTCCTTGTTAAGAAGACCAACGACAAATGACGTCTTTGCATTGACTTTACTGACCTGAATCGTGCCTACTCCAATGATAGCTTTTCACTACCTCGAATTGATCTAATCGTGGATACCACAGCAGGGCATGAACTACTCAATTTCATGGATGCCTTCTCAAGATACAATCAAATCAGGATGGATCCCAACGACCAAGAGAAGACGTCCTTCATAACCAAGCAATGAACATACTACTATCAGGTCATTTCATTTGGGTTAAAGAATGTAGGGGCCACTTACCAGTGGTTACTGAATCGCATGTTTTAGAAGTAGATCGGGACATCTATGGAGGTTTACATTGATGATATGCTAGTAAATTCGTTAAAGGGTGAGCTCCAGATCCAGCACCTCGAAGAATCTTTCCAAATTCTAAAGAAATACCAAATGAAGCTCAACCCAGCCAAATGCGCCTTGGAGTCTCCGTAGGAAAATTCCTAGTTATTATAGTTAACAGTCGAGGCATTAAGGCTAACCCACAGAAATTTCAAGATGTGATTGACATGCAACCACCCTCAAACACAAGGGAAGTCCAATGATTGACAGAGAGAATAGTAGTATTGAGCCGATTTGTCTCTAGTTCAAGCGATAAATGTTAGTCCTTCTTTCAAATTGTGAAAAAGGCATTCTAGTGGGATGCAGAGTGTGGGGAGGCATTCAAAGCCCTTAAGGATTATCTCAGTTTACTGCTAGTTCTTGTAAGCCCTTGAGAAGGGGAGGTGCTCACCCTGTACCTTGTTGTCTCAGACATTTCTAGAAGCATAGCCCTGGTGAGGGAACTAGACAGAACTCAACAACTAGTTTACTACTGT